TGAGCCCAGTGGAGCTGCTTGGGGAGGGACTCAAGGGTCCGAGAGATAGAGGCTGCGGGAGCGCGCTGGAGGTGCTGGGGACACAGGGGTGCGGCGCGTGGAAGCCCCTGGGGCGCAGTTGGGGATCCGGGAACCAGGGCGCAGAGGAGGGGCGAGGTGAGGGGGGTAGGGAGGCGCAGAGGTGGACCTGAGTTGAAACAGGTAACCGCGTGCCATTGCGTCAGGGTGGGGCCACCGCCCCCAGGAGAGAAACGCAAGGGCGGGGCGCACCGGGTGGCGCGGGGCTCGGGAGCCTGGAGAAAGTGTGGGGCGCGGCGGGGGCGCTGATGACTCCGGGGCCGACAGGGGGTGAGGGGAGCGTGGCCGGGAGGCCGAGGCTGTCCGCGAGCGCAGAGGAAGAGGCGTGGGGCGCAGGGGTCATGGAGGTGGCCGGGGTTCAGCTGCGCCCAGGTGGCACGGAGCGAGCCGTGGGCAGAGGGCTGGAGCTGCAGCCACGGGTGTGTCCCGCAGGCCGGGAACTCAGCGAGGGTCCCCTGGAGACGACGCTTCTGCCAGGCCCGGCTGGAGGCCGGAGAGTCCCCCCAGCGCGCCCAGGCGCACGTCGGCCCGTCGGTGCCCAGGGCGCACGGAGCCTCGGACCATGCCGGGTGAGTGAGAGAGCGAAAGCCCCTTCCTTTCAGCCTCTCGGTTCCCGTTGGCACGCGTGAGGTTAGCCTGCGCTGGGGAGACCCTCGCTGTGCCCCCAGGATCTCCCCAACTCCCCCCACCCCCTATTTCCCATTGTCTGCTTTCCCGAAGTCTCCCAAAGTTGGAGATGCTGGAGGCGCCCGGTGGGGTTGGAGATTCGGCAGCTGGAAGGGGGCGGTTTACAGCGTGTTGGGGGCATTCAGATTTCATATTTTCCGTAAAAAGTAGTTCTGGGGCTCTAGGCGGTTTTTCTCAGTGGTTAGAGAGGCCGCCGGGGGACTGAAGGGTCCCAGGTTCGAGTGAGGCCAAGGGAACGAACCCCGGTTGCAAGGCTCCATCTCTGGCCCGAGGAGCCAGGCAGAAGGCAATCAATGGATGTGTCTCTCTCACACTCATGTTCCTCTCTCTCTCTGTCTCTCCCTTCCCTCTGAAAAGCAATGGAAAAAAATATCCTTGGGGGACGATTTAAAATAAAAAAGTCGTTTTCTGGGGATTTCCAGGGGTGAGTTTCTTGGCCAAAACATTGAAGGGTCTCAGGTTCTTACTGATGGAAACAGATGGGAAGACGTTTTGGCCCCCAAAACTCTGGGAGGACAGTGCCTGGAGGTTCTCCTGAGTCGGGACCATGATGGTATTTAGTTATTCCCATAAAAATCGGGGGCAGCAGGGCAGCGAGCTTGTGATGGGTGGAGGGTGGCTGGGTGTTTGGCAAAGTTTGGTCCCCAAGGCCTCAGATTCATTCCTCTGTGTCCGCCTTTGGGTTTGGTGGAGGGCAGATTTGGACAGTTGACTTCAGAGGCCTAGAATGGGCACGTGGACCCACAGGAATGATGTCGGCTCTGTTTGCATCCGTAAGACAACCCGGCTCTTGGGCCAGACCAGAGCTGGTCATTCACAAGCAACATTATTTTATTTATTTATTTTTGAATATTTTTTTAATTGATTTTTAGAGAGAGAGAGGAAGGGAGAGGGAAAGAGAGAGGTAGAAACATCAATGAGAGAGAATCGTTGATCAGCTGCCTCCTGCATGCCCCCCACTGGGGATGGAGCCCACAACCCGGGCAGGTGCCCTGACCGGGAATCGAACCTGTACCTCCTGGTTCATAGGTCGACACTCAACAGCTGAGCCATGCCAGCCAGGCCACAAGCAACATTAAAAAAAAATTATTTAAGACACTCAGTGCTTAGAGTGTCTCCCTGCACACAGAAGGGTCTCAGGTTTGATTCCCAGTCAAGAGCACTTACCTGGGTTTCTGGGTTTTAGGTAAGATCCTTTGCCTTGCTTGGGGCACATGCGAGAGGCAACCAATCGATGTGTCTCTCTCCCTTTGATGTTTCTCTCTCTCTCTCTTTCCCACTCCCTCCCTCCCTTTCACTCTCCCTAAAAACTAATGGAAATATATCTTCAGTTGAGGATTAACAACAAAAAGGGAAACCGTTGGGGCAGAGGGAGAAGGGCCGTCTTCCTGAGCGGTGGTGAGATCTCTCTCGGAGCAGAAGCAGAAAGGACTCCCTGTTCCACAGAGCGGCTTGGAGCTTGCTCTCCAGGGTGAAACACCAGGCTCCCCCGCAAAGCTTGAGGGGCCCATATAAATGGCAGCATTGAGCCCTGGACATTTGGACATGTCCCCATCAGCCCTGGAACCAGGCAGAAGCCCCGCTGTGGGTTCTCAGCTCTTTGCAGGAAACAAACACACCTTTCAGTGCAGGGCAGGCCGGCGAGAGGAGGAAGCTGCCCATGTTTTTTCAGGGGCCGGTTGGAAGATGGGTTGAGTGGCACACAGGCCAGACATAGACATAAACATTTCTCACAGGCTCCTTGTAAACCTTGTAGCCACCAAAATCTTCAGGCTGAGCTCAAAGTTGCGAGAATATAGTTGTTTTTTTGGGGGGGGGAGGGTTAATCCTCACGCAAGGATATTTTTTCCATTTGATCTTTAGAGAGAGTGGAAGGAGGGGGGCGAGGGAGAGAGAGAGAGAGGGAGAAACATTGATGTGAGAGAGACACATCGATTGATTGCTTCCTGCACGTGCCCTAGTCAAACCTGCAACCCAGATAGGTGCCCTTGACTGGGAATCGAACCTTTGACACTTGGGTCCATGGGCTGATGCTCTAACGACTGAGCAATACCAGCCAGGGCGAAAGGCGGCCTTTGGATAACTGCGGATGTTGTTTGGGACCACCCCAAAACTCCCTCACTGGTAGCTTCTTCCATGGGAGGCTGTAGCAATGAATTTGCATCCTCTGTTACATTAAGATCCACTGGTGTCACTTTGTAGTTAGATTGTGAGGGTTTGCAACATTGTATCCAACCTTCAGAGTGTGCCTTGGAGTCTCGGGGGTCGGCGGGGAGAGGGCCTCTTCCCATCGCTGGTGCTGTCTCATCATTCGATTTGTAAGATCGATAGTCTCTTTCCATCGTCAGCAAAGAGAAAGTCAAGTAGCTTTTTTTATGAGAAAAGTTGGGGGACTCCCTTCACCACTGAGTGCTGGGTAGACAGAGTCCTTCTGATATCTCAAGAAAAAGAATTTCCTAAGACTCGCACAGGAGAATGAATGATTTTTATTTGGGTGGAACTACGTCCCTGGGTTTCCAAAGTTCCATTTCCCTTATTCCAGTACTGGAAGAGGTGCAGCTGGGGATTCAGCAGAGTTAGAAGCAAAGCCAATGTCCAGAGTTTCTGCTCCATGGTGGAGCCGGGTCTAGTTCAGCATCAGGCTAGTTGCAGCCTATTGTGTGTGGGGTCCACAGGGGCATGAGCCACACAGGGGAATGCAGGGGAGCATTTGAAAGCCAAGAGTCAACCAAGAGAGTGAACTCCTTTATTTAGGGGATTGCGTATCCCAAATTTCTTGCCCTGACAGTGGCCATGCCCATTTTGGCCAATGCCCTGTTCCCAGGTGTCACTGACAGGCAAGTACCTTCCCTAGTCCCCCCTCAACTTTACTGGGCATGCGTCTATCTCCCCCCTGTCCAGTCCCTTCCCCCAGCGATCAGCAGGAAATAGACTGGTGGCTCCCTGGGGCATGTAAAGCTGTAGCTTCCTGGCGAAGCTGCCGAAAGGCCTGTAATACTTGCCTTCCCTTTGCTCCTTTCCTGTTATCAATAACTAGCTAATTACAACAGGGTCAGTTTTATAAACCCCGCTCTGTATGTGTAGCCCTGTCCCTATACTCAGTAAATCAGGCACCCCTCTACCTGCCTGCACCCCTTCACTCTGATATAGGTGATCTTTGACTCTCCCCATGCCTCAGCCATCTGGGTTCCCCACAGACCTCTCTGGTGATCAGCCTCGCCTCCCTGCACAGGCCATGGCGATTCCTCCTGCTCCCCAATCTCTCGGCTCCCCCCTGCCTTAGATGTTGGTGTTTCTCATTGGGAAGCAGCTAACGTGTCCACACCCAGTGGGTCAGAAACACGAGGTGGTAGAAAATCGAATTGTGATCTCTTCAGTGAGGGGAACCCACTTGGATGTCTCCTCACCTGTCCAACTCCTCGTGGCCAAACTACGCTCCTCACATTTCCCATCAGATGGTTACGTCGATTTTATGTATCTGTAAATACTACCTGTGTCCCTAGAAAGTAAACACGGTGTTGTTTTAAGCCAGTTAAAAAAAAAAAAAAGGAGATGGCTAGATATTTAGATGATAGATACATGATAATAGATAGATATAGATAGATGATAGATGATAGATAGATAGATAGATATAGATAGATAGATGATAGATAGATGATAGCTGATAGATGATAGATAGATAGATAGATAGATAGATAGATAGATAGATAGATAGATAGACAGATAGATAGA